TAAATTCATAAAACATAGATTTTTATCTAAACACACTTTTTGAAGACCACCTTTCTCTGTACTAGCTGGCAGGACATGTATCAGCCCTGATTAGATTTCACAAGATGTCCACCTTTTCTAGCATATAAATACCTTTAAAACTGGCCCCAAGGACCTTCTATGGAGGGAAAAAAAAAAACAAACCCAAAACCAAGACTAAAATACTTCAAAAGCGTGTCCTTCAAAATGTTTCAAAATATGCTTGTAAAGTCTTCATTGAGCATTTAAACTATGCAAACCCATAGTATTCCAATTTATGAAGTGATAATGGATTAAAAGGGAATAAGGTATTTAATAGCAGCAAAAATAACTGATCTTCTCATTTCCAGGAACTCAAGATTTTCTGCTTATGCAAGCATCCTTCCTATTGAAATAATTCTGCTAAGTACAGAAAATATATGTAAATTACCTCACTTTGAAAAAATAATAAATAAGACACAAAACAAAGAGCACTCTCAATTTCAATAATAGCACCCCCCTAAAAACTTTCCACTAGAAAAAAGCAGAATGGAACAAATGTAAGCTTCAGAATGCAGTACTGCGCAGAATCACAAATAAATTCACAAACATTAATGGTCTACGTTGCATCTAGTGGGACAAATGCAAATTGACAAAAAAACAGAGACAAGAAATCCCCAAACCCTAAAAATCAATAACAGGGACTGATTTTTTGTCAGACAAAAGATGAGAAAGCAAAAAGGAATTATTGGTGATTTATGTTCCATTAGTTGCAAATCTAGGTGAAATAACCCTTTGTGTTTGCTTCTAAAAATGTCATCCTGGATGCCATTTTCAAGGAATTCAGTCTGACGTTAAAAGACATGTCATAACTTTGAGGATCCAGGCTCCAGTGTCCCAGAAATCTGTTTATATAGCTCATAATGTAATTACAGCTACCTTAAGACAGATGAGACAGAAGGCAGTGATATATTGAAAACTAATTGAAAAAAGCAGTTGTCCAGAAGCACTTGTGGGGAAGAGGTCTCTGAAAAGCTGCTCAAAGCTTCAGAGTTTGAAGTGAAATTTTTGATGTTGTCACTCTCAATCTATTGAAGAACTGACAGACAATCAAACCCGTCTGGCTGGCTGGCAGCTCATTTTGCTGGCAGGTGGCAAACAATTAGACACACCAATTTGTGCCTCCTGATGACATTAAAGCATGAAACTAAGTTGTATGCAGGGCCTAGTGATTTGTGTGAAAGCATTTCAAAAATAATACTCTTTGCCGTGGCAACTCATTTCAGACTGCCACCTCCCATTACGGCTTTGAGCGTTGAAGACGACAGACTTGAGTTACGTGCGGTGCAAGGCCGCTTCTGTTCAATCCGTCATCAGCGCCCCCCGAGACCTCAATCCCCTCCTTTCATCAATATCACCTCATCATTTACATTCGATAGTACTCGAACTGCTGCATACATTAACTACACACAAGTCCTACTTGATAAAACATGTTGGACACATTTTCTGCTTTTACATTTCATTTACAACCACACAAATTCTATGGAAGAATACACTGTAGCCTATTACACAATGACTCTTGCGAACATATTAGCAACGTACAATTAAAAGAACATGCAGAGCAAAACACATCATATTAAATAAGATAGAATTCTTAACTTCAATTCTATTTACAGGAGTTTCCTTTGTATGGCGTTTACCTGCATGTAAGATCAGTGATTATACTTAAAGAAATATCTTTAAAACAACAAAGATACTGTTATTTTTCTACTAATTACTTATTACCTCAACTCTTCTTTTATAAGGCACTCAGCCATCCAAATGCAAAAATAAAATAAAAAAAGTCTAGCCTCACAAGGACTAAGAATATCTTTTGATTAAAGTGAAAGATACATTTCTCTAACCTCAATTTGCTTATAAATATAGAATCACTGTGTATATTTTATAAAAACTGAAACAAATAAAACCTGACAAAACAATACACTCCATTGCTCCTGATTCTCCCTAGAGAGAATAAACATGACCAATAGCCACATTGCTCAGTGAAGTACCAAAAGCATAAACTACAGCAACAGAAGATCCTACAGAAATATGGTCCACAGGCATAGTGTTAGCTTTTAAAAAATATGCAGTGTATATTATTTAATTGTTATTTTATATCAGTAAACACAATTATATTTACATGAGCAAGTATGGAAAAACAATCACGCTGTAATTTTTGTCAGTTTTTCAATGATAATTGGGACGCTATAGGCAACACGAAATGTTCATAAACCACCACAAGCTAAAATTCATGTTGCTTTCTCAATTAATATTTTAATTAATTCTAATATTATTTCAATATACTATTCAAGGTTTTTCCCCCCTAGCCTTTGTTTCACCCCCCATGAAAAGTTACAGGGTTAGGATCTCATTCTGTTCCTCCTTTGTAATTTGGAAAAGAAAACCGACACCACCACCCATCTTTTGCCTCCAAAGATTGCCACAGCGGTCAAGTAAGTACTTTGAAAATAGGAGCAAACTGCACAGAGAACTATTTGCCTGAACAGTGGTCATAATTCCGTAATGCAGCCATGAGGTGCAACCAGTCAGTTGAGGTCTTGTGGGCTAAGGACATGAGTATTTTTATCAAGATGCTCACAGTTCAATAACATCCGTTTAGTTGGAGGAAAGAATTTAACACTTCCTGATCTGCTGGGACCTGCCTGAACTTGCCAATTTTCCCTTCGTAGCTGTTGGTTATATTAAAAAGCATGATCTACCTCACTCACCAAAATCAGACAGCAGGATCTTCTATGTAAGAGCAACAAAATATCCCAACAAAATTGATGTAAATGGGTCTTCTTTTGCCTAAACGTCAACCATTACCACTTTTTTTGCTGAAGAAGTAAACGATGCCAAGGGCTGACATGGTACAACATATGTTACCAAGATACAAACACAGCTGTACATTTTGTACAGGAAATCATGGAATCACAACTTGGTCAGGAGCGTAAGAGGATAGGGAAAAAACAAACCACTAAACCCTCCAGCTCCTAAGTGAACTTATTAAGTATGAAATGCCTATCAAAATCCGTAAGCTCTAAACATGAAGCACCTCTCAAATAATTCCATAATTCTGTTTTAGCAACTACTAATAATGGTGTTCAAAATCATTACATATACAAGCAGTCACATTGTTGCAAGAAAAATCTAATACACTTAATACAGGTTATGGCCAACCTACTGCAGCCCTTTAGAGTTTTTAACGTTTTCTTATAAAGCTGTAATTTAGAAATGCAGAATAAAACTCATCTCTTCAATCATCTTGATGTTAAGTTCGCTCTAAGATGACAAAGACATCTCATGAGCTGATATGCTCCATTTTAATTTAGGTGTCTAGCATTTTGTGCATTAACAACAACCCTCTGAATGAAGTATTTTTTTTAATTGACCCAGGTAGAAATTTAGCTGAATAGGTTCAACTAAAGTAACCTTTTGGTGGTTATAGTTAGGTGCTATTAATTCTACACACAGCACAAATTTTGGTACTGCTTAATGTACAAGAATGCATTCTAGAATATGATGGTTCCTCACAGAGGATAAGGAAAAATTCCCGACTGCATAGGAAAAAAAATATTTTTCACTTCACATTGAAATCAGTCTAAAGTCAAAACATGCAGATTGATGAACAAAAAAATATCCTCTTAATGAAACAGTTGCTAAATGAGATTTCTCTGGAATGGCCTTAAGACCTAAAATATTATTAGAAAGGGAAATATTTATTGCTTCTAAAGCACATCTCAGTTTTCCTATCTTGATCCAATCTTCTTTGTGACAACAGATGATATCTGATTGTTTATTGAACTATTTCAGAAAAGCAGCCTCAGTACCAATATATATAAACAGACAAAAAGGCATCAGCTTCTCTATGGAATTCATAACGAAAAAGCGCTTCTTCACTTTTATTCTAAAATTCTCATGTATCTTCTTGCACTTTACTGTTTACATTACGCTGAAAACATCGATTGTGTATTGTTTTTCTGAAGACTTTAATGAAGACATTTCTGATATTTTTGCAGGTTTTCTGTAAATGCAGATGGATTTTTCTCATAAATCACAACATAGCCATTTTCTTGTTTGATTTTTTATTTCCTCCAGAATTTTAATTCTTGTACCTGCATGATGAACTAGTATATTTCTACAACTTTGCTTAAAATTTTGAGACATGTTTTACCATACCTTTGAGTTAAGTCTTGATTCCATTTTTTACTTTTTAAAAACATTTTTATGAAGAAACTGCAGGGATCTTGTCATACTGGAAAATGTAACCACATCAACACTCATAAAAGTTAGCTCTTTGCACAGGTTAAGAATGAACCCACAATGGATCAGGTTACCCTTCTCCTGGAAGGATGTTGTCAATTGCACATCTTATCACAACTTCTATGTTCAGGATAACTGAGATGGACTGGACACTTAAAGAAAAGTATATTCATTAGAAGCTGGGAAGCTACAGCCTAAAAAGAGAAACAAAGAACTCTTTGTGGAAATGTTCACCAGTTTATTTTTAAACACTAATTTTTGAACTTATTTGCTGTTTAAAGACCTAAAAGGAAACTGGTTTCCACCATGACCATGCAAACAATTTGCCATGGTCAAAACATTTCAGTACCAGAAAACAGTGCAATGATGGATCCAATTAAGACTTAAGCCTTTGAAAGAATATTTGACTGAATTTCAGCACAGTCTGTTCTATATCAACAGATATTACCCCTCCTCCTCACTTGTTTTCCAAATACCTCATAGAGTTTTATTCACTGCTGACAGAGAAAAACAAGGTGAATTACTTTTGTCTATACCATACAGTCCGTTTTGGTAACAAAGAAAAGGAGAAGTAATGCAGCTGGTTTTTAACATAGTCTAATACAAACCAAAATAAGAATAACCGTGTTTAAAAAAAAAAAAAAATCCTTCAAACTTCTGAATTACATGAATATAATATAATGAATCCAGCCATATACCTGTCAAATGAGTGAAACTGCATGGGAAGAATAGCCTGAGCTTCTCTCTTCAGTGCAGGATCTGGGTAAGGGATCGGATCCGGACCACATTCTGCAATTTCAACAGGGGCTGCCACAAGACTTTTCAGTATTTCCTTGACATTGATGCCTTTACTTTGGCTGATACTGGATATTGATGATGCGGGTTTCAGGATTTCACTGGGGCTTTCCGTTAAGCTCTCCTGAGATTTCTTCACTTCCGAAGACAAAGTAGACAACAGCTCGCTCATAGCGTCAGGGCCTGTGCTGGTCTCCAAGTCTGTCCCATTCAAAATATTCTGCATCTGTTCATCTCCAATTCCAGAATCTGTATGAGGAATAGAGCTTTCCAGCTGAATATCTTCAACTGGTGTCGGTGTTTCTTTATCTTTGATATTTTCTGGAAATGCAGTTGGTGTCTCTGCAGTGAAATAGAGGTTATGAACAATATTTATAACTTAGTTTGATTTTTGTTCCTAAAAATATGATCATAAGGTTTTACAAGACAGAAATGTGTTAGAAAGCCCACAAATCTTAGTAGTTTAAACCTTAAAAACTCATTTTACATACAAAACATTTTGCTTTCAACAGCTGTTTGGCATATATAAAGGCTTGGAAGAGGGAGCCCGACGTTGCATTATGCAAGCTCAGTGACATTTAGAAATTACAGCCCACTACTCACACCGTAATCAAATAGCAAAATACTGCCAGCAAAAACAACATTAAAAATCATAACTTATCGACTGCATATCTGTATGATCTGTGAGACTACTGGAAGAGAAAAATGCAATCACTTATGCTTTAGGATTATTATAAAATTTAGTCTTTTTATTGCTGTCAGCAAATATTAAGCTTGCATTCAAAAGAAAACTGCTAGACCTTTTGTTTGCTTTGTCTTTTGTTTAAAATGTGTATTATACACATTTTTACACACATATCATTACATTGAATACAAATTTATTTATACATGAATGAAAAAAAGAAGCATTATTGTTGATTCTTTAGATAACTCCCCCTTCCCCACAAAAGGTAAAATTCTGTAATTCTTTCAGGCAAATGTTAAGAACAAAATAAACACAGCTTTATAGAGACGGGCAAATGAAATCTGTTGACTTTGGAACACATCCAGATTGAAACGGACTCTACAACATCTTGTAACCGAGAAAAGCATACCTCTATTAATTACTTCAGTGAAAGAGACACAACAACTTCATTAAACAAGAATAATTTGCTATGCTTAGTGGAAAGTTAGCTAGAGGTGTGAATAACTTCCATATTAATCTTTTGGGTTACATTTTATTAGAGCAACAGACTGTGGCTATTTTTAATGACAAAAAGCTTGCACTCAAACTGATTTTTTAATTTATTTTCAAACTATCTTATTTGCATTGGATCACTTGTTTTGATTATAAAATTTAGCTGGCCTATGTATGAAATAGGAACACTTTTTTTTTTTACAGTTCTGATTTTGCAGCTTAGATATTATGGAAAATATTTTACAACATACTTAGATGAAGCTCTGCCCTTCTGACTATTCCAAACAAAATGTACTTCAGCAATGTAACTTTAATAACAACCACATAATTTATTACCAATTGTTTGATACAGTCAGGTGTAAAATATCTACATATTTATCACATGGGCATAAATGTGCGTGTATGCATACGCACATAAAAAATTCTGTATGAGACTATTTATGTGTTTGAACTAATAGTAGTGTAAACCTCTTCATGTGTACAAGTATTAACAAACAGATATAAATAGAACAGAAGAGGCTTTTAAAAATACAAAGCAGAATAACCCATTATAAGGAGTATTTTTTTCTTCTTTTAACAGCCATAAACTCTGAAGCCACTTCCTTCTTCTCTTTCTCCTAAGTGCATTAAACACATCATATCAAGTAGATATGAACCCTGCTTTGTGAAGCAGGAAGTAGAAACTGGATTTATGAGCTGCATAAAATGCACTTAGCATCTGCCAGGTCAGGAAGTAAAAAAATCCGTATCTGCTTAGTACTGCCTATATTTGGCACAGAAGGACATCTGATCCACAGAATGGTCCTAATGAATTTTCTGCTTGTTTGTCTCTTTAAACTTCATCCATACAAAGACAACACTTCTCAACTGAAGGGAAGAGTAGAACTGGACTGCCAGTCAAGCAGATCGTTGCCCTTTTAATGTATGGTAAGTAAAATAGCGTAAGGCTCCACTATTATGTAAACGAAAAGAGGACACCGAAAAAAGAAGACGGTCCACTACATGGTGAAGTTAGAGTACACCTAACCTCAATTTTCATTAAGGTCAACAATGCTGAACACAAAACTAAAGACAGGAAAGCTAATGGAAATGCGGTTGTGGAAATTCAAATACCCTAACTAAACCAGGAGAAAGATTTTAATGTATTAAAATCATGGGAATGAACTGACTCCAAACCAATTTTGAAAGAAACAGTCCATGAAATTACTGGTCTAGTAGCAAGTACTTTTGCCAAACAGGTAAGTGGAGATAGCAACATATGACTGGAGAAAAACACACATGGTTTTTGTTTTTAAGAAAGGGGAAAAAATTATCTGGACAACTACAAGACTTCAACAGTAAGCAAGATTTCAGGATTTATTTTGGAGTAAAGAATAGTAATGGAATGGAATGAGGCAGATTACAAAATGGCTTTGCTAAAAGAGCTTTTTAAATATTTATTGCTCAAAGAAAATAAGGGCCAGTGTAATAAAATTCAGTAAAGCTGGGGTTGTCACAACAGATAGTAATTTAGTCAGAAGAACCTGGAAATTAATAGAAGGTGGGAAAAGAAACTGGCTAAGAAGGAGTCATCAAATAGTTGCAAAAGAAAAAACCATCAGACTGAGGAAAACTACCATGGGAGTTCTCTCATTTAAAATTTTAATAAAGATTTCAGGTGAAAAAGTAAAAATATTCTGGTGAAATTTGCTGATGACAAAGTTACAAGGTACAATTGATGTACAGAAGGATGGTTATAAGAAGGCATTATGACAGAACTGCAAATTACATTTAATAGTGAAAAGCTATGCATCCAGCGACTAACACAGAGATTCCCATTATAACTGGAATTCATCAACTGGAAATGACTGGAGAGAAGGACCTGGATACATCAATCACTGGTAACTATTCACTGCCATGGAAAAGGCAAATGTGATTCCAAACTTTTCTGAAGAAATAGCTCCTGCAGTAGTTAAGTATTACTGGCATTAGAGAAGGCTTTGGTAGGGTTCATTATGGAATACTGTGTACGCTGTTATATTTGAGGAAGATGGAAGTGCCACTATGGAGACCCACAGTGATCGACTGTTGCAGAAAAAAAGATTGCCTGATATAGTCTGGCCAAACTAATACTGAGAGGGTATACAACAGCTATTATACATTTTCAGGATGCAAACTCCAGAAAAAGGATTTAAGCTAAATGGAAGAGTTGGCATGAGAAAAACTGAGTACAAACTCACCAGGAATACATTTAGATTGAGAAGTGACAGCCATCACTATGGAATTAAGGTTCTGGAATAGCCTTCCAGTTAGAGTAGCAAGTTCAAAAATCAGAACTAATTTCAAGACTCTATAAATAGGACTGTACTTAATTACTCTGCATGTGCCTTGTAATCCTTTGTTCCCAAATGAGAATAAAATGCCTAGAGGATTGTATCATTTGAAGTAAAAAATGGAAGGAAAATTAAATTTGTGGATATAGAATTTAGATATGACATACTATACAATACATAACACTAATTAAAATGATTTAGGAAAAAATATCGAGAAGTTATTGTATATACAGATAAGTGTATGGATACTTCATTTCCACAGAAACTAGACTTGTATCTTTACTTTTCTTATTGTGTCTCTAGTATCTATATGAATACACTGCACTAAGTCAATTAAGCTTCGTCTGATTTATCACCATGAATAACAATCTCGAAAAACTACCTATACCAAATGCTTTAACTCTCATTTTTAAAACATCAAGCAAGCTAAATGAGTAAGGGTTTAAAAGGTCCAATTGACTTTTTGTAAATCAAAGGAAAATAAATTCAGAACAGATAAAACTGATTAATAATTGCCCCTCAAATAAGAATACTAGTAAATTAGTATTTGTGAAATTCAGATAAATATGTCTGAAAAGACATGTTATAAGACCTTCTGGATCAGCATTATTAGTACTATTTTAGGTAAATTATAAACTCCTGAGCATGGGTCACAAAAACCAACCAATTTTAGTTACAGTACTGCATATCCACAAGTTTTATTCTATGTTCATTTATATGGTGTCATAGCACTGCTGTAGCCTTCAGAATTCAGGAATAAAGAATCAGTACTGAATACTGATTCATAATGTTATCTACTAGAAATCTTAAACCGGTAATGCATATGCTTTTATAAAAATCCAAAATACTTAAAACAATTTAGCAAAATGATAAACATGAACAGAAGCAAAAATATAACTGATTTCATCTGTCTATGTTATAACATTGTGACAGTAAGCCTGTAAATTTTCAGCAAACCTCATCAGTTTTCTGCAGCACAAGGCCATGTCAGTAGACAAAGCAGAAACATTACTAGACCTAGCGATCTTAACCCTGTCAGAAACAGGCAGTTGGAAGCCAGATGCCTCTTTCTTACTGTTTTTCATTGTAACTAATGAGTTCATCTAGTACATTATGGGAAAAATATGGGCTTAAGTTAACTAAATGACATATTGTATATCTAGTGACCTCATCCGTCACACTCCTCCCCTAAAATATCTTGTTTGCTTGTGATTTATGAAGTGTATTGTAATTGTTTTAACCTACTGAGTTACTTAAACAGATCTTGCACTACTTCCAAATGCCTAAAAATACAAAAAAACCCCATGTTTATTACCTAAATAATGAGACATTTAATGCCTGTGGTAAACATATACATTTTTGCCTTTATAAAAAAAAAGACAACACAAAATATTTTGCTTCTAATATTTATTTATTATTAAAAAAATGGAAAAATTGTGTTTATATTCCTACTGTCTTTTTTCTTTTTAATCTGAAACCTCCCTACTGGATAAAAATCAGCTGAAATTTTTCAAAAGTAAAAAAGTATGAAAATTATTATTTTTAACTGCTTACAATATGGCTGAAAATTTATTTGAAAGTCACACTATCCCAAACCATTGTCAAATTTCTGCTGCAAACCATATAGCAACATTTGGTAACGGAAGGTTTGGGGCAATCTTGATATAAGAGTTGCTGCCACCTTGCAGTCTGCACTTGCACTGGAAAATTTATGAGTTGTTTTCTGTATAGCTATCTTAAGGCATTGATAATAACCTTATTAGCTGCCTTTTATAGATGCCTTTGTAGTATTCTACAAACTTTCAGGGACAGTACACTACAAGCTGAAAATGCTTTCAATCCAACCAGGCAGT